AATACAACCTTCACAGAACCTATCAGAGTATCTTGTCAATTTACACTTGTTACATTCTTTTGGTTTTCCTGATTTATCATTTGCATTATTTAATTCAAAGTTATAAATAAACCTTTCCTTACAATATTCTTTTTCATTTTCAGAAAGCTCCTTGTTTTTCTTGACTAATGAAAGAAAATAATCTTTTCTACTTTCTTCATCAGAATTAACATTATTATCACTATACATTTCATTATAAATTTTATATACAAATTCTATTCTTTCTAATGATAACGATGATAATAGTTTATCATGCGACATTATATAAAGATATAAAATATAAAATTCGACTTGGTGTTTTAATGAATGCGGAGAATAACGGTTACATTGTTTCCTTTTTCTTTGAATGACGTGTAACAAACAATTTGCTCGTACAACATTAAGTTTTGATTAATTGATAAGGATGGAAACTGAAAAACGAAATTGCATTGTTTAAAGAACAACTTCATCATCACCAAACTCTAGTGATCGATTTATCGTGATTCAACAATGAAAGAATTTCAGCATTCTTTGAAGATTTAAAAGTGATAAAAATAGAAAACAAAATTAAAATTTACAAAATAAGCACCAAAACCTGTCTTATCTGCTATGTAAAACTCGTTCCAAGTATCAATTTTTATCAATATATGTTGCCTCAAACTCAGACACCAAAGACAGCTCAAGCACATCATTAATAATATTATTGCGTATTACTATTACGCGTAGTTAACTTCAAAAGTCAAAATTTTGAAAAAATATCAACTTAACGCAACTCATATGTATGTAAAGACGATTTTATTTTATGAAATGCAATTATAAAAGAATAGTTTTAATTTTTAAAAAAGAAGAGGCATTTTTATTTTGAAGAAAATATATGGAAAAAAACAAGTATTATTATTAACTTTTAATATAAACTTCAATTATTAGTTTCATATCAAGAGTGACTCAATATAAGCAGGATCATAGACTAAAGGCACACAATTACATCATCTCCTTACTTGGGTGTAAATTTCCAGTAAATGACTATATACCTTTAATATCTGTTGTTTCTTCATAATTAGAACACGTAAAATAATTAAACCTATAAAAAAAATTTATTGAATTTGACTTTTTTCAAGTAATTTTTTTATCATTATTTTTGAAAGAAATGAATTTCAAACTTAAAATAAAAACATGGAAATAAAACAAAAAGATAATTAAGATAATCAATCATCTATGCATGTTTCAGTGACTAAAAGAAAAATGATGATGATGATTTCGTTATTTTTATAAAGCCTTCAAAGAATCTTCACCAATCAAGTCTATTTCAATATCCAGTTCTTCCTATGTTATCATTATTGATAATTAATATTATGATTATGAAATGTTTTGCATAAGGAAAAACTAAGGTTTCTAAATTTATGATTTATTACCATAAAATCTGTTTTCTTTTTTTCTGTAGCTTCTAAAATCACATTAAACATATCATAAAACTATAATAATAAATAAATATAGGTATTATTATATATATATATATACATATTCATATACATGTACATATCATAACATTTCATTTCCTACCATTCTTTTTCTTTGTCTCCAAAATTTAAGATTTTTTTCATATTCATCTTCAATTTTTTTCTTTTCTTCTTCGGATATTTGTGCTATGCCTGATTGCAATTCTTGTAGTCTTTCACTATAATTTTGATTCTTCAAATAATTGTTGATAAATATTATTAATTAATTGAAATTTTTTTGAAAATTTTGAATTTGCTACTCAAAAAACTTTTTACCTCTTTTTTTACAGTTGAAATTCTTTAACATTAGTTAACAACAGACATCATCAAATCTTAGTTAGCAAGTGTTAGTTGTAAAATTTTCTCACACTACTCCCATAATTATTTTTCTTTACCTTTCGTCAAATTGTTTATTAGATAAAGATTTACATAATCCATTGAACACTTATCAATATCATAAAAAAGATTTATTAGATAGCAATTAATAAATATATTTAATAAATCATCACCATCGTCATCATTACTATTAATTTACCTGATTGTAATTTATGATTCTTTTCTTTGAATTCATTTATTTCTTTTCTAAGATCTTCAATTTCTGCA